ACAGCCGGTGGTGCGGGTAGGTGGCAATGGCTGCCGGGACAGGGATTTGCGCGTGGCGGTGTCTGACCAGTGCAGCTGGGATGTGCCGTGGGTTTTGGCTGGGTTTCTCCGTGGCCCGGTGGGATTAGAGCCAGTTTGAGGCGGGCAGTTGTCCCAGGGGAATGGGGGGAGCAGGCGGGGGCTGCTGGGCTGGGAGGGGTGTGCTGGGTGGGTCCTGCTGCCAGTGCCGGTGCTGGGGGGCCGCACAGCGGTGCAGGGCGCTGCCAAAGGCTGAGCACGCTCTTTCTGCCCCCAGCAGATTTCAGGGAAGTACTTTATACCAAAGCACTGGAGGACACCGTGTCCAACTCCTCTGCGGATACAGGTCAGGGCACTGGGACGTACGGGGATATACAGAGGAGTAGGGAGGGCGGGGGGAGCGCTTCTGCAGCCCTTTGGGGATCGGACTCACCCCTTTGGGGCTGGGACAATGGAGACCTGCGGTGGTACCGTTCCCACCAGCTGGGGAGTGGAGACGGGACCCCTGGGTGCTGCAGGGACAGGTCCCATCGGGAGCAGCGTCCCGGCATCCAACGGTGGCATCTCCGCAGGGCTGTGCTCGGAGGCCTGCCTGCTCCGCCGTTCGCACTGTGACTCCCCCCCGCTGCTCCGGGCTGGCTCAGCGGGGAAGAGCAAGCTGCTGCCCTCCAAGAAGGTGACGCAGCAGCTGTCGAAGACAACAACCCGTTCCCTGGGGGACCTCAAGGTCTGCCGGGGCACCCGCGGGCTGGTGGCCAGGTTCCTGCAGAGACCCAAGCGCAGCCCAGCAGCTGGCATGGAGGTGCCTGGGCACAGCTCCCAGGGGCACAAGCAGGTGAGCTCCGGCAGCCACGGTGCCCCAGGGGACAGGGGCAGCTCCCATTTTCCAGGGAACCCCATTCATGCCCTCTCTCACCCTCCTGCCCCCACCAGCACCTTCACACTGGCCCTTCTGGGGTCTCTGTTCCCTGCCATGCACCCTGTGGTGTCGGGACCCCAGCTGCAGGCAGGGGCTGCAGGCAGAGCCTCCTTCCTGCGGCACTGTCCTCGCCCAGCCCTTCTTGGCGTGGCAGCCCCTTCCCCTTGGCCCCCTCCATAGCTGCAAGTGGGAAAATCACGTGTGTCGTAATGGCTTTGGCTTTGCCCCTGAGTCATCGCAGCCCGGAGGCAGTCGCTGGGATGTCCCAGCCTCGGCTTACGGGATGCTGGAGACCTTGTGCAGCCCAGGAGGCCCTGACAGGAACGAGCCCGTCCTTAATGACAGCGTACCCACGTGACGCACGCCTCCGCCATCCCTCGCCACC